TTTTAAAAATCTGATGTGTGGATCACATGATATTTCAATTTTTCTAAGTTCCCATTATAGGCCTTCTGCACTGTATTGGTTTTTTTTTTGGTAGGACAGACACGAATTGATTTTTTTTTTCTTGGAAAAACAATTTATTTTTTGACAGAGTCCAAGGTGACAAAACGTGAGCGTTGTTGTTTGGTTTGGTTTTGGATCTCCTAAAGAAGAAGTGTTAATAACTAACCAGAGGTACTATTTATTTGTGTTGATATTTTTATTTTATATAAATATTTTAATTGGAAATCAAAATGCAGAGCAGATCTTGCTGGGTATTTACAAGATTTTCATTGATAATATTTTACTTTTCGTAATTGTTAATAATATTAATACTATTATAAATATTATATATAATCACAAGAAGATATCAAGGCAGCACAATTGAAAAAGAAACAATTCGAGTATGCAATGTTTGATTATCGGAAATTTTACAGGCGTTGAAGCAAGCATGCTATGCTACCTTGAACACTTTACAGCCATTCTCTCATCTTCCTTGTGTACACAAGGTTAATCTGACCTGCTACACTCAATGATACAATGATGTTGAAATCCAGGGGGGGACACATGGCCCTGGAATTTACCAAGATTGCATCAATCGTCAAGGACACTTTCACTAATCTTCCCAGACCAGAGATGGCCGCTAGCACGTTGGATGAAAAGTTGCCTGCAACGATCCTACCTCTAGGGCAAGGATGACACTGTGACCAAGTCGCAACTCTGCTGATGAATATTAGTGCCATGTAAATATCCAGATCCATCAAAGCAACAAGAATCTGCAGCTCATTTCCAGCACAGGAGGTCACAATTCAGAGCAGGGTTGGTGACCCTGAAATTGCATTTGGGCTCTGATGTTAAGAGGAAGGTTGTAAAATAGTGTTTGTTTTGTATAATCATTATTTTCATAAATGCTCTGTTTCTCTGATATTAACTAACCAATTTATAATTTTGGGTAGGGGACTGGATTGGGTTTTTGTCCAATCAGTCCTCTGTCCTGCAGGTTAAAATTATTGCACGATTATATACATCCTTGTCAGCAATATTGCCAACAAGGAAAAAGAAAAAAGCCATAAAAATGGTTTGGATTTTGTTTGGTATGTTATAAATTAAACATTTTCCCAAATTCTCTGTTTCTCTTTAATTTTTATCTGACCAACTGAATTTGTTATTTTAGTAAATGGGGGTAGGGTTGTTGGTGAGTAGGCACGCCACTGACAAGACAGGGGACACCTTTGGGATGTATCAGCCAAACTCATAGAA